TTATGAAATTGAAAAAGTCTTTAGATGTTCGAATTATACAAATATCAAATAATATTATCATTATCTAGAATTGTAGATACTCTTCCTTGGAAATATATATATACAGAATGATAGCGATCACTTGCATCACGCACCATTATTGGGTCTGACTGTGTTTGCTTCACTTGATGTGAAGTTTATCTTTAGCTGTCTGGTGGGAGAACACCCAGCTGTGTTTAAAGTAATTCCACACATGTATTCATATCTAGTGTCGAAATTCATTCTCTTATACAGTCAAAGCATATAAAATCAAATATATTTCTTCATAAACTGTGATTTGAATAATTATTTTATTATTTACTATTTATTTTCAGCCAGTATTTTGTATATTAAAATGGTTCTAATCTAATCTAAAACTGTGACCAATTCAAAGCGAACAACCGCTGCTATATTTGACAGCAGATTCTCTTCAGCAAAATTCTTACCAAATACAAAAGAAAGAATAGAAAATGACGTTATTACAATAACCTTGAAAATTTGAATTTTCTTCGAGTTGAGCTTAACCCTGTATTCCCATGAGAACAAAGGTTTAAGCCTTTTGGGAATACAGGGTAAACCTCGACCCGGGGAGAGAATCTGTAAGAGTCTGCGAAAGAGAGAATCTGCGGTCAAATAAACCAACGGTTATTCGCTTTGAACTGGAAAATGGAGTATTCTCCGAGTGAAAAGTTCTCCGACGTAAAAAAGATATGGTGACATTAAATTTATTATTTTTTATACGATTTTAGTACTTTCTATATGACTTTCTATATGCGTCTGCCATTTGGAATGAAAATATATTATATGCCAAGAATGTACAAATGTATTACGTCTTTTTAGCGTTCAGTTTCTTAGCCAGCCAGGGTCAAAAGCATACAAAATAACCTTATATAGAGAGAAAAATTTCATTTTCACTTTCTATGACAATTAAATTATTTTTGATATTTGGAATTAGTATGTATTCAAAAATATCTATAAAATACGTTGCTTTATACACTGCAAATGCCATACAGCCTAAAGCGGCGTTACACAAGCAATTTTTCCTTGACAAGTTTTCCTTGACAAGGAAAAATTACTCGTGTAAATGGGGTAAAAAGGGCAATTTTTCCTTGTCAAGGAAAAGCCAACATGTTCGCTTTTCCTTGAACAAGGAAAAATTGTCAAGGACGAAATTTGCTCGTGTAAATGGACAACAAGGAAAATGTGGCAAGGAAGAATTGTCGAGGAAAACTTGTTGACCATTTACACGGGGAATTTTTCCTTGTCAAGAAATTTGTCAAGGAAAAGCTGCTCGTTTAAACGGCGCTTAAATATTTTTATGCCTCAGAGGCACAGGCATCCGATCGTTTCTTAACACTCAATATCATTATTTAAATCAATACAAATAATATCATGCTAATCGACATTATGAAATATTTGACTAAAAAAAGGTTAACAATCAAAATTACCATKTCCAAAGTACGGCTGAATTCCAAAGTTTTAAGAAAGTATATAGATCTAGTAGCAATGGAACTATGAACTTTTAAGGATTTCTTAGTGAATTTTTCGTATTTTTATTGTTTTAATTATTATCGCTTATTAAATAAGATAACAACCCATTGTTGAGAAGAAATAATAGATCTCTGGATTAAACTAAATATGTACCATATATATCAAAAATGAATAAAAAGACATCACCTTTGCGGTAGAAAAATGTTTATGCATGAAAACAAGGCTGGACGTGAATACGTTTCAATCTTACATTTAGTGTTTTCTTGTAAAAATACATATATTCTTAAAAAAATCATATCTTTCCAGTTTATCTCCTTGAAAATTTGCGATATAACGTAAACTGTCTTTGATGCGGCACATATCATGCTTGATCCATTTTTAATTTATTTARGTATTTTAAAATTCAAGTGTTTCATTTCATAGGCGTGATATTGACCTTATAATTCAAGATGACGTGGTATTGATAATAATAAAAATATCTAAATGTTTCTGTTTCCTGCTTGTTCTCTAAATCCCAAAAGATGTTGACCAAAAAGTCGTAAATGTTTATTTAAACACGGGAAACGCGCAACGGAAAAAATAAAAAAAAAACATAGTACTACATCTTACATTTATTTGATTATTCATTCAATTAATTCATAATTTGCATTATCACCTKCCACTTTAGAGACGTTCAGCAACAGGCATGAAATCTGTTTGTTTCTGATTTCATGCAGCATTTATTTACGATATAGTGATCCATGTGACTTTAAAAACGAGAGCGCAAGAACGSTGTTGTAGAATATATATGGTTGATATGAATCTCCTCGCGATAAAACATGCTTCCATCGTACTTTCTGTTATTTCGGTCATTGGAAATGTCTTGGTTTGTCACATTATCATTACGGTCAAATCCATGAAAACTTTCATGAATTACATTATACTAAGCCTTGCTATACTAGACGCCATGACTGGTTTTATTACGATCTTCTTTGTCCTAGTAAATGATGATGAAAGAGATTTGGGCTCACCACAATTGCTTGAAAAGGCCTTCAGTGAAAGTAGTTTGGCTGCTGAAATTATATGCAAGATTGCATGGAGTTTTTGGCTTGGAACGAATGTTTCTTCATTTTTACTCATGGGAATGGCGTACGAACGCTATAAAGCTATTGTTCATCCTCTTTCAAGACTTCGAGGGATTGCTACCAAGAAGGTTATCCAAATTTTGTGCTTTTCATGGCTTGCTGGAGGTGCTTGTTCAATTTTTGATTTGGCTAGAGTGACTTATGATTCTAAAAGTTCTTCTTGTGTACCTATGAGCTACTCATGGTTCAACTTCCAAGCTTACCAAGTCACTCTTCTTACAATATTATACATTATTCCTTCAGTTGTTATATTTATTTTATATCTACGTATAATCTTCGCGTTAAGAAAGCAAGGGAGCTCTCTGCGAACTCTAGGAGAAGCTCAACGAAGGAGAGCAAAATCACGGAAAAGGGTAATCATCGTAGCTATCATTGCAACAGTGACTTTCTTGGTTTGTACTGGTATTCCACAAAGCCTATTCCTCGTGAAAACAATGGCTACTGGTTTGTTTAATCCAATGGAATCTCGTTTATTTAAAGTTATTTATGAAGCATTGGTGGCGTTTAATTCTGCTTTTAACCCTTTTGTATATTTTAYCTTCATCAAGTCATTCCGTGATGACTTTAAAAGTGCTTTCAAACTCAAACAAAAAACTGGAAATAGCATTTTTGATTTAAATGGTATGACTGCTTCACAAGTCGCATTAAGGTCGAAATTGAGTGCTCATGATACAATGCAACCAAAACTGCTTGCTTTTCATTTTATACCAAATGGAAGAGATGAAAAGCTAAGTGCATGAAAACAACAACAACAACAACAACAACAACAACAACAACTACAACAACAACAACAACAACAACAACAAACAAACAACAAACAATTTTAATGATAATGTTAGATTTACACAATTATTTCGCGATTGTTTAACTTCCATATTTTTAGCACTCATTTCGAAACAATGTCTCATGGGAAATGAATATCAAATAACACCATTCGACACGGAAATGGTCTAAGTAGCCAAATGTTTGATTTCCACCTTGATTATATCAAATTAACATTCTAYTGTTCGAAATGTAAAACAGTAAGTTGGCCAAATAAAGAAGGCCGAATGTCCAAAGAAATTGGGGTGGAAAAAAGGGAGATTTGTTTTCTTTTCAACGGTAATGTATACCAAGAATATATAGCAATAAAAATACTTTATTAAAATAACGACAATCATTTTCATGAAACACAAATAAAGCCGTAAAAATCTAATTATTTATTGAGTTTAATCAAACTTTCACACTACACACTACATCACTGTCACTAAGACGTCGGACAATATACGATTCACTCCGAGGATTGACCACATCTTTGTGCGAGCGTTCCTTTGTGAAGTATGGCTGACATGAAGTTCCTCGCTATAAAAATCCATTGTGCTTTCCGTTGCCTCAATCATTGGAAATGCCTTAGTTTGTCATGTTATAGTTAGAGTGAAATCCATGAAGACTTCCCTGAATTACATCATACTAAACCTCGCTATACTAGACGCCATAACTGGCTTTCTTGCGATATTTTGTACTTTGTCTAAGGACGTTGAAGGAGATTTGGCTGCACCAATGCTAGAGCAGGCCTACAATAAAAGTAGCATCGCTGCAGAAGTCGTTTGCAAGATAGAAGCGGCTTTTTGGCTTGGAAGCAGTATCTCTCCATTTTTGTTGATAGGAATGGCATACGAGCGATATAAAGCTATTGTCCACCCTCTTTCAAGACTTCATGGGATTGCTATACAGAAGGTTGTTAAGATATTATGCTTTTCCTGGATTGGAGGATTTATATATTTCATCGTAGACTTGGCTGTAGTAAAGTATGATTCTACAAAATCATCTTGTGTAGTTGTAAGCAACTCTTGGTTTAATAACCAAGCTTACCACATCGGGCTTCTTATTTCATTCTACATTATTCCTTTCATTGTCATATTATTTCTCTATCTTCGTATAATCATTGCTCTAAGAAGACAAGACAAACAGATACTCGGAACACAACGAGCTGAAGCTCAAACAGCAAGAACAAGAACACGGAATAGAGGGATCGTCGTAGTTCTCATGGCGACAATTATATTTTGCATATGCGTTTGTATTCCCCAAGGTTTATATCTCGCAAGTGTGATAGTCAAAACCTTATTTAACCCGAGCGAGATTCGACTATTTCATGATATATATGTGACATTGGTTGCATTTAATTGTGCGTTTAATCCTTTTGTTTACTTTATCTTCATCAAATCATTTCGCGATGGTTTTAAGATTGCTTTCAAACTTAAACAAAATGACGGAAATACAGTTTGCAATCTTAATAAAGTGAAGATCTCACAAGTCGCCGCATCAAGAATAAACGCCCAAACTGCTCATAATGAATTTCAACCCCAACAACTTGACTCTAATTGTTTGCCAAATGTATGAGACCGAATGAAGCGACAAAAAAATAATTATATGTAGTTTTAGATGGAAGTGCCATATTTCTGAGAAAGTTTATGATAATTTTAATGAATATATTCATGATCCCACTCGCTAAGTTCATAAACTATATATTGATACTTCCAAGGCACGTACACCAGATGAATTACTTCTGAACAACCCGCTGTTTTCGTTCTCAAAATCTCTGAATGCAAATCTGAAGAGTTTATAGAAAATATGGTAAATGTGTGTTTGAGCTAAGCATATTCAGCTGGTAGAATTAAAATACCCAAGAGAAATTATATTTGCCATCTTAACTCAAGCAATGCCCTTGAACCTCGTTTCCTTTCCTTTGTTTCCTGCTACTTTCAATTCCCTTCCGTCTTACTTCGTAATTAATCGCAAACTTGCGGTTCCTCAGAGCACGGTTCTCTAGGCCCGATCTTGTTTCTCATTACCAGGCAAAGTTACGAAAAGATATAACCCCCATCTTTTGCTATTTATTTTGGGCAAATGTCATCTGTGGCGTCCCTCAGAGCACGGTTCTAGGCCCGCTTTTGTCTCTCATTACCAGGCAAAAGTAAATAAAAGATATAAGCCCCATCTTTAGTCTGTGTTACATCCGGAATTTCTGTCTAATTTCCTTGTGCTATTTATTTTTTGTAAACGATCATTTGTGGGGTCCCGATCTTGTTTCCCATTGCCACGCAAAGTGGCGAAAAGATATAAGCCCCATCTTGTACTATTTATTTTTAGCAAAGATCATCTGTGAGGTCTTTCAGAGCACTATTCCAGGCACGATCTTGTTTCCTCATTACCAGGCAAAAGTAAATAAAAGATATAAGACCCATCTTGTTTCTATTGTTTTTTGGGAATATATTTCCCCCCTTAGGTCATACATGGATTGAAATATATTGAATTGATTTTAATCTAGCTTCCTGAAGGTCAACCACACATAGTGCACGCATTACTAAACAAAGAAAGTGATTAGACTATTCGGCGTGGAATATAGGAGGAGCGTCATTTTCACAGCATGAAATGTTAAAAACAACAACTTTGTGTTTTTGAACGAGAATTGAAATTTTGAACACAAATGTGTTGTTAAAGTACCGTGCAATGTAGTGTAGCCTACATTTGCTCCTATCAATTTTAGGTCAGAAATTGTTGAATAAAAATAGACAAAAAATATCACAGAGTAATTAACTCAATAAAATGGGAAAACCCTCCATTCAAATACAGCATTTAATATATATCTTAAATTAGAAGTAGAATATAATGTATGACAAAACACCAACTGGTAATATCTTTACTTAACTGTTCATTGAACGTTTCGTTTGGCAAAATTCAAATTCTAAAACTCAAATTATAAATTGATCAATGAATAATTTGATCATCCATCAATAATACTATGGAGAATATTGTTTTTGAAATATACAGCTAAGTTTTATCTTGCGCTCTTATGTTGGACAATGATAGCCGAGCAGATGTGTTTTTTATACATCATGGTCATCTTTGATGTTACCTCATTTCATCAATGAAAACTTTGACCAATAAAAAAATCCATCAATCATACTACGGAGAATATTGTTTTTGAAATATATATATAGCCTTACAGCCTTTTGCACAAATTATGAGACATTTTTATATATATAAATATACCACATCACTGTCACTAAGACGTCGGACAATATACGATTCACTCCGAGAATTGACCACATCTTTGTGCGGGCGTTCCTTTGTGAAGTATGGCTGACATGAAGTTCCTCGCTATAAAAATTACATCCATTGTGCTTTCCGTTGCCTCAATCATTGGAAATGCCTTAGTTTGTCATGTTATAGTTAGAGTGAAATCCATGAAGACGTCCTTGAACTACATCATACTTAACCTTGCAATACTAGACGCCATAACTGGCTTTCTTGCGATATTTTTTACTTTGTCAAAGGACGTTGAAGGAGATTTGGCCGCACAAATGCTAGTAGAGCAGGCCTACAATAAAAGTAGCATGGCTGCAGAGGTACTTTGTAAGATCGAAGGGGCTTTTTGGCTTGGAAGTAGTGTCTCGCCTTTTTTGTTGATAGGAATTGCGTACGAGCGTTATAAAGCTATTGTTCATCCTCTTTCAAGACTTCGTGGTATTGCTACAAAGAAGGTTGTCAAGATATTATGCTTTTCCTGGATTGCAGGATTTATATATTTTATTGTCGATCTGACTATAATTGCTTATGATTCTACGGAATCAACTTGTAACGTTGTAAACGACTCTTGGTTTGATAACCGAGCTTACCACATCGCGCTTCTTATTACATTTTACATTATTCCTTTAATTATCATATTTTTTCTGTATCTTCGTATTATTATTGCTTTAAGACAAGACATGGTCCTGGGAACGCAACGACCTGAAGCTCAAACAGCGAGAACAAGAACACGGAGGAGAGTAATCATCGTAGTTATCATGGCAACAGTTATTTTCTTTACATGCACTTGCATTCCGCAAAGTTTATATCTCGCTAGTATAATAGTCGATACCTTATTTAACCCAAGCGAGATTCGATTATTTCATGACATATATGTGACATTGGTTGCATTTAATTGTGCGTTTAATCCTTTTGTTTACTTTATCTTCATCAAACCATTTCGAGATGGTTTTAAAATTGCTTTAAAGCTTAAACAAAATGACGTAAATACAGGTTGTAATAGAGCGAAGGTCTCACATGTCGCCGCATCAAGAATGAACGCTCAAACCGCTCATGATGAATTACAACTTCAACAACTTGACTCTAACTGTCTACCAAAAGTATGAGACCGAACATAGTGACAAAAGATAATTATATGTAGTTAGACTGAAGTGTCATATTTCTGAGAAAGTTCTTTATGATCATTATTAATGAATATTTTGATGATCACAGCTAAGTACATAATATAGGGTTATTAACTGAGTGCGAGGTCTGTATGGTAAAATATCAGACCGAGGTCTTGACAGTACGGACCAGTTTTCAGCCAATCAGAGCGCGCGTACTATCTAAGTCATACAATAAATTGATATATTGATGCTTCGAAGGCACGAACACCAGATGTATTTCTTCGGAACAACCTGCTGTTTTCGTTATCAAAATCTCTGAATGTAAACCTGATGAGTGTACAGAAAATACGGTAAATGTGTGTTTGATGGGGAATGTATATAATCAGGCAAATTTCTCTTCGTCTATTCGGTATTTTCCAATTCAACAACTAAATATTTACCGTAGAGCTTCTATGGATTCGTTTTGTGTTGTAAAAATGAACTGCGGTCGTCACAAAACATTGTCCATCATTACCATGGAGTTGGATGGATTGCCCAGCATTGATATAGGGTCAAGTTCCTTTCGAGCTTTTGTTTATATTTGTACATCTCAATATACGCATTAAAACGTACTCTATATAATCCATGTATACTCTATGAATGAAGATTTTGTAAGATTCGCGAAACTCTTCAACACGTGGAACATTTTTTTCATGTTCACAATTTGTTTACGGTAAGCACTTATAAAGCCCATTTCTGTTATAAACAGTAAACTGTAAACAGAAAAATTTTAGCATGAAAAGAAGGCTATGGTACTTGTATGGTAAAGCTGTTCAGTTCCAGGGAAAAAAATTACATTTGCATAAACTTATAATCAATAATGTATATGTACTGTTAGGTCGGCTTTGAAATAAACCAGAAGTAGGTTTAGCAATAGAAAGAAAAAAACCTATTGAATTTAACAAAAAGATACATTTTTTCTTTAATTCAAGTGAAAGGAACCCCTTGATATTTGCTATCTTCACTTCTGTAGGGCCCTTAAGTCTCGTTTCCATTCCTTTTCTTGGTGCTGTCTTCAATTCCCTTCCGACTTACGTCGTTAGCACCTATCTGTGAGGTCCCTCACGGCACGGTTCTACATAGGTCCGACCTTGTTTCTCATTACCAGGCAAGACGAAAAGATATCATATATATGCCCCAGGTTGTCGATATTTATATTTTTGGCAAAAAGATCATCTGTGGGGTCCCTCAGGGCACTGTTCTAGGCCCGATCTTGTCTTTCATTACCAGGCAAAAGTAATAAAAGATATAAACCCCATCTTGTGACTATATATTTTTTGCAAAGAAAGCATATTTTTCCCCTGAGGTCATACTTGGCTTGAAATGCATTGGATTGATTTTAATCTAGATTGCTGAAGACCAACCACATAATAGTGTACGCTTTAGTAAACAAGAACTAATCAGACTATTCGGCGTGGAACATACGAGTAGCGTCATTTTCACAGCACGAAATGTAAAAAAACAGCACACTTTGTGTTTTTGAACGAGAATCGAAATTTTGAATTTTTAAAGTACAGTTCAATGTAGAGTAACATTTGCTCATATCAATTCCAGGTCAGCGGACACAATGAATAAAAATGGACGAAAAATATCACAGACTAAAGAACTTAATAAAAAATGGGAATAGACTACCATTCAAATACAGTATTTAATATATATCTTAAATTAGAAGTACATAGAATAATGGACGGCAAAACACCAACTTGATCTTAATATAACTGTTCAATGAACGTTTTGTTAGCAAAATTCAAATTCTATAAACCATCAATAAATCATCAATAAACCATCCATGAATTCAACTATGGAGAATATTGTTTTTAACAATTATCACATATAGCTTAGTGTTATCCTGCGCTTTTATAATGGACAATGACAGCCAAGCAGATTTGGGTGTTATACATCTCGTGGGCATCTTGGATGTTATCTCATTTGATCAATAAAAAATTTGATTAATAAAAAAATCCATCAATCATGCTATGGAGAATATAATTTTTTCAAATATATATAGCTAAGCCTTATCCTGTGCTTTTATACAAATAGTTATAAGTAGATGTGTTTTTTCTGCATCATCGGCATATGGATATTACTTCATTTCTGTTGCCCTAATGTGCCTTTCGACGAGTTCTCCATTGAGACACTGCATTTTTTCTTCTTTTTTGAGTTTAAATACAATTCTAAAAGCATCGCGAAAAGGCTTGATGAATATAAAATACACAATAGGATTAAAAGCCGAATTAAATGCAACTAATGCGACATATATGTCATGAAAAAACCGAATCTCGCTTGARCTAAAYCCCTCACGACCTATTGTATATGCGAGATATAAACATTGAGAAATGCCTGTACATAMGAAGAAAGTCGCTGTTGCACTGATAACTACRATGATAACTCTTTTCCGTGTTCTTGCTCTTTCTCTTTGAGCTTCTCCTTGAGTTCCTAGATCAACGTCTTGTTTTCTTAGCGTAAGAATTACACGCAGGTAAACAAAGAAAATGATAAAGAAGGGAATGAGGTAAATTTCTACAAACATCGTAATATGGTAGACTTCTTCATCAAACCACGGGTATTTTAGATGTCTGCAAATKGCTCCYTYTGARTCGAAAGTCGCTGAAAGCACATCAAATGCAGAATTYAYAATACCAGCAAACCAGGAAAAACACAAAACCCTCACAACTTTCTTGATAGGAATTCCATGTAGTCTTGACAGAGGATGAACAATAGCTCTGTAGCGCTCGTACGCCAATCCCAATAATAGAAACGAAGAAACATTAGTTCCAAACCATAAGCTCCATTTTATCTTGCAAATGACCTCTBCGGCGATGCTACTTTCATTGTAAGCCTGTTTTATTAGTGGCGGGCCAAGCTCTTCTCCATCAGTGTTCGCCAGTGTAAAAAATATGGYAATAAAGCCACTCATAGCGTCWAGTATRGCAAGGTTWAGTATGATGTAATTCATGGAYGTCTTCATCGATYTGACTTTMACGATAATGTGACAAACMAAGGCGTTACCAAAGATTGAGATRGCAGAAAGTACAATGGAAACAACTTTTATGGCAAGGAACTTGATGTCAGCCATAKTTCTCAATACCAAGGATGTAGTTATTGAAAAGATGCGGTTGACAAAGATGTGRTTAAKGCACCAAGTGACAACCCTTKGGGATATCTTGCAAGTAGGAAGTTTCTGGAACTTCTGCAGCGCCTTTGCAGGTGACGATATATATATATATACCAACATACACTTTTTTGAAAGAAAAATCGACATTTAATAAAGAATTAGATCAATAAGAGCAATATTGTATTTATTACACGAAATAAATGATTGAGCATGATTTTTTAATGTTATATCATTTGTCAAATCGTGTTATTTATCACAGAAGTTCCTGTCAAGATTTTAATATACTTGATTTTAAGTTTTAATCAAGGTCTTAATTATAAGTTTATTAAGGAAATTAAACAAAAATAAGAAAACACCATCAATCTCGAGTTCGAAAAGTAATAATGAAATGAATGAAAGGTATAATCCATCTGTCATTTAATCTGAGGTTGAATTTTTGATGGACAATAATCAAAGACGCGAACTCCTTGCTCCTTCACATCATGGGTTT